TCCTTCCTTCTCTGATCCCTCCTCCTTTACCTTCCCCTTCAACTGCTGGACTGGTAGATGCCCCGTGAAATTAGCCCTGGACCCTCGCAGCGAGAGATCGTCTGGTTGACATCTGCCCCGTAACCCTGCGTATCCATTCAGCGCGCGCTCGTCTAACGCCAGTAACACTTCAAATAGAGCTTCTTTCATTTTCAGCGCACCTCGTCGCGTCGTCGAAACGCTCTGTTCTAGCTAGTGATCTGAGTAGGACTTCTCATGTGACTTCAAGTCGTTCCTTACAAGTACTGCAGTTCTTGGTATTAGTTCAACTTCAACCTTCCCATAGAAGGAAACCGCTTCGAACACCTCTATCCACTCAAACATAGTCTTCGCGTCAAGGCGCATCGTTGTTGGGAATTCCCCAACGGGGCTCGTATTCGGTCGCTGAGAGGGGGGGGGGGAGTGGTCGTACAAAGGATTAAAAATTTTTTTGATAGTTGGTTTTTCTTGTTCCAGGGACGTTGTAAAGGAGCGGGTCGCATTTGCTCGTTGTCGGAGGGGGGGGGGGCGTAATTGCCTCTTGCCCTTCTAAGAGAGGTTGTTGACTTTTCGTAATCCTTTTCTGTTTCGTACTGTACTTTGTACCCCAATCCCCTCATACGGATTCGACCGAAAATCCCAACTAATATGTGGCGTGCTTTGTGTCCGAGCAATTTAAACAATAAGTTATTTTCTTGCGTCTGAGCAATTCAATCAATAAACTCTGTAGAACTTATTTATTTCACGTATAATAGAAATTTATTAATATACTTTGTATCAATACTTCTTTTAACCCGTGAAAGTACCCATATTTCACTTGTATGTACTCTACTTCTCGGAAAGGTAACCACCGTCCTCAGTGCTGTCTTCCTCTTCTTCGATTGAGTTGTGGCTGCTCTCTGGAAAGAATTCCTTTGAAATAACCGCGTTACTGTGCTTCAAGTTGCCCTATGCACCAATTACCACCAATCACCATCAGTCACCCCGTGGGTACTTTTCACGGCTGGGTGACGGGGCGGGGTGTTGAGACACGTCGGCCTTAAACAGGAATTTACTATGTTAACTGCTGTTTAAAGCCACAGGCCATGGTAAGCGCTCCGGAAATTATCACAGGAATGCTGTGTTGTATTGTAGACAAAAGCTTTGAGTCCGTAGGAGACTTGAACCCTCACCTCACGCTTACCGGCGAGTCGGCTGTGAGCTGCGCCGTCCCTTCAAGTATGCTCTGTAACGGATAGCGTTCGCTTGGTGCGGGTTCGAATGCACTCTGGGGTCGAGACGATCGCCGATATTTTGGCATTCTTGGTAAAATGTTATTGGAGAGTTGTTAATTGGGGAGTAGGGAATGGGTAAAAGAATCGGCATTTCAAGGGATCACTGAAGCAACGGAGAATCGGACAACCGGGAAGCCCCGATGGCCTCAATCAATACGCATCTGAACCGCTACATTAATGTTACGGATCTGGCGTCTGATTTTTGTCCACAACTCAGCATTCTAGTGACAACTTTCTGAGCGCGAAACGGCAGTTATCATAGTAAAACTTTTCGTGGACATTAAAAAATCTTCCATATGTTGCTTCCGCAATTCTCCCACTCTTCAGCGTACAATGCTTCACAGATCATCATTGTGGGCGCTCAACATGCACCGAACACAACTGGAGATGCACTTTCTCTGGACAAGGTACAGCATCGTTGTGTGAAGCACATAAGAGGGGTCTACTCAGCAGAGGAGGGTCGTATTTGGTCGTTGATGGGAGAAGGGGGGTCGTATGTATGTGGCTTTGAGAGGAATTTACCGCGTTGGGAAAGAGTTTCTCCCGGTTTACGTGACTTTTCCTGTTCCATGTATACTATATACCCCCCCTCGCTTGACGGAAAATAATCCTTGAGTGAAAAACTAAAATGTGGGAAAGTGGTACGTATTTAGGTGTTGGGGAAAGAAGGGGGGGGGATCAAAGACTACCATTAAACACATCATGATGCTGTACCCTGTCTCTGGACTGTCTATCTTCAGCCGTGAGATGCTATGGTAGTGAGTATGAGGCCAAACTATAATGAAGCGTACCTTTCCTGATTAAATCGGAAAGAATGCAGTCGCCCTTGTTGCCTGACCTTGTCCAGATGATGCGAATTTCGCAAGCGCAGCTCGACATGAGCAAAGGCGGTGAAAAATAGCGAGAAAATCGTCGAATTCTAAATAATATTACAGGTTTAACTGAGGCGAATTTCAAGAAATATTCTGAAATTGGCTGGCACACTCAGCGATCACCTCCTCGGCAGCAATAGTCCAAAGCTTAGCGCCTCCTCGCAAGAGTGAAGGGGGTTTCATCGATAGTCAGCACGCCATAAAGCAGACCCCTAGAGGGCCCAACAGTCAGCATTTTTGCCGTAGAAGCTGTCAAATGAAATCATTTATTCGTAAAGTTTGCTAAAATGTCAGTTGAACAAGCTTCAGACTAATTTGGCCGGGAAATTGATCTCTTCCTCGGTTGACAAGCTAATTTTGTGCCTGATCTTTTTTGAGTAGGAGATACAGTCTTGCTCGCTGCGGATGCTGGGGCTGTCAGGGAGGCCGGGTGTGGTGCGGCGCCAACTCGCCTCACACCAAAGGAAGCTGGCCTGCGATCACAGTTGGTGGGAAACGGGCTGCGTGGCGCCAAACCCAGCCCTGATGAGCCCCATCATCCCCAGCGAACGAAACTGCACGTTCTACATCATTTTAATATATTCTCCGCGTTTTCATTCCTATTCGGTAGAAAAGCAATTGCAAGGGCTGCGCTAAGTTTAAGTCCTTCCTCCCAGATATGCTGAAAACGATCCGACTCCGTTAGGATGAAAAGCTGGCCGGTCTGAGAGGGATGCAATCCACGAAAGGTGCAGGTCGCTGCGCTTTTCGCTGCCAAGATTTCAGCTAAAGATATTTTCTTGGCTCAATGTGATTATCGCTATTGTGGAAATGACTAAACACCTTGGTATAAAATCGAAAATGGGAGTCACTTAAAGCCGGCTGCCTGAGTGCGACCTCAAGCTGAGATTTGCCCTCAACAAGTTTGTTATTCGTTGTCTTCGCTTCCGTCATGGCCACCATTATAGGAGCCTTTCTGATGAATTGAGCATGAGGCATTCAGTTGCTCACTAAATGTCTCAGTGGCTGTGCAAAGCGGCAAGACTATGCTAAAGCATCCGTGGTCCAGTTCATCGGTTCCGTCTTTCGACGAAGCAGCGTGCTTTCGAGGTGCTCGCGATAAGCTTCATAGAATCGCTTTAGTAAGCTGACACAGAACCAAATGAGTTATCCAGTACAAAAAACTGCGGGGAGAACCGATTGAATACCGCCTTATATAATGCCGGCGGTTTTCAGGCACCCAGTGCTGGTAGAAACAAAATTGCCGTATTGATGTTGAAGAGAGAGGGTCGTTCTTGCAGCAAGAAAATTTTTCTGACTGTAGATTGTTCCTGTCTCGTTTTCGTTGCAAATAAGGGAAGAGCCAGAACAGGGCACATCTAGTGGGGATTTCGCCACAGAGGCGTATTTGTGGAGAGGAGAGGTGTGGGCTACGGCCGCCCAATGACACCCCCCCCCCTCCCATCCGCTCGACAGGAGAAATTTCGAGAAATTACGGAGAAGCTAGTAGGTTGGGAAACTCTGAGAAAGCGGTAGGTAGGGAAGGACGTAACAGTATTTCGTCCTTGCGGTATTTCCGTTTCAAACGCACCATATACTACCCCCTCCACCCTCCACCCCCCCCCTCCCGAACTAGGGGTGACCGCATCAACCAATTTTTAAGGTGCAGGCCGTACGGACTTGACCAGAATCCCCAACCAGTGATGTGCCCTGTGCCAGAAGACGATTTCTTGGGAGGGGTGGAGTGGGGGGAAAGAGGAGTCTTATTTTGCAAGAGCTTTCCACAACGTAATACAGTGTTTCGTCGCGACGTTTTTACCAAGCAACTTGCCAGTAAGGTACATTCGAATAAGAGGTCATGCCTAATACGTACCGTTTCACCTTTTAAAGGTAATTTGGCAGGACAAAGCATTATCGGACTATAGCGAACGATTCAGAGTTTAATTGACATAAAAACGGTGAGATCTCAATTCAAAGTGATCAAGGATGGAAACTCGAAAACTGTACACTTTCGGTCAATATGTTCAAGATAGTTTTCATGGTTTTGTTCATGCGTGGGATACGTTGCTCAGGAATACATGGTGAGACAATATATTAGCCCAACAGAAAAGAAAATGACAAAGGAACCACCGGAACCCGTAGAAAATCCTCCACAATAAGTCTCCTCTCCTGGAGTGACCCCTCTTTCTGACGCTTGTAAATGGTGGACAAAACAGGAAATTTTCCTACGGCAGAGTCGACTCTGCCGTTAGAAAAAAATTTAGGGTTTTATTCGCGGAACACAACTGGTCGTACTTGGTTGCTGGGAGTTTCTCTCGAGCAGCGTATATACGACCAGATGTGTTTCATACACGCTTAAACTCGACGGACGCTTAAAACCAACCACGTCAGGCATTTTCACCGGCTTCTCCTGCTAGTTCTTCTGCTATGACGCCTAGCCTTACTACTCTGTACAACTATGGCCAGTGTCAGGTTTCATCTTTAGTGGATAATGTTGAGAAACGAATAAACTGTCGTCTAATCCCCAGTACTGTCGTCTGATCCTTGCGTTCAGAACCAAGGACCAGGATCTCGCGGGGGACTCCTTCATCTTCCTAAAGGGGAAAACAGCCTTACTATCAACACAGGGAAGGTCCCGGTGATCTCTTCAGTTGAATTCTAATTCAAAACACAGCCCACTTGCTCTCCCGAGAATTATTATCAGTTTTATGAGTTCGTTTTTGTTTTCTTCTTGTTTTTTCTTCATAGTGCCATCCCCTAATTGAGTATGTTTCTGTCTTTTTTTCCAAGCTGAGTGGCGCACCCTTGGGTGTATATCAATAAACAAATAAAAAAATAAACATCGGAACTTCTGCTTTCATAACTTTTGCACGTACCTGCGACCACTCCATATTTCCGGACTGCAAGCCGGTTCGGCGCACCTAGGATAGTGGAAGACGTCATCGTCTCTGCACATTGCTGCGCTGCCAAAGTCCACCAACTTGCCTGAAGAAATAATGGGAGTGGAAATGGGTTAACAGATAAAGCGGTCAGTGAGGCATCTCTATTGAAGCAGTTAAGTTTTTCATCGCATCAACTGGATGGCTGTAATTGTTGTAGACTAAGTGTAAATTTGCGACCTCCTGTCTTGAGAAGGGAAACTTTCCGTGTGCCTAGTAAAATGTAATTCCAAAAAGCACAGGGAAAGGCAAAGGTTGAGCCCAGTACCGTTCCCAGTGTATGCATATCGCGTGTCGTTTAGCGATTGTAGACATTCCACAATTACCTCCAAACAACTACAAATTCAGATGTGGACTTTCCTTCCCCCCTCTCTTTGCGATTACGGAAAGCGTTATGAATATTAACGCAAGCAGACTTGACTTACAATTTAGGTTCTCATCCATGACGACATTTTCCAGTTTAATATCAAGATGCACTATATCGTTACAGTGTAGGATAAGAATACCGTTGGCTACCTGAAGAACTGATTGAATAAAAAAACATCATGGGACACTGCAACGCAACGCTATTTGGGGGAGGTCCTATTTCGACAGTATTTGATGGTTTCGTCTCGTTTCAGCTTCACTTTCGCAACAAGAATTAGGTTGATGCATATGTTCTTAAACCGTGTTTGATCCTTCCGTATTTCGTTTGCATGGATGTTGGTATTTCGTCATCACGTGTGCGTGACGTGTGCATTATACTCTTTTATCACACTAGCTATCACTCACCCACCTTGCATTTGCAGGCCACAATGTCGCACAATTTCCACTGTGACAAAATGTACCTGCGCCACTGCCTGGTTTTGCTTCACGATTCACAAAAGAAGCTTCACTTTCTCAACTCGATGATCACTGGAGATGAGAAGTGGGTCCTCTACGATAACCCTGTGAGGAAGCGGCAGTGGGTCGACAAAGGAGAACAGCCAGAAGCCACCCCAAAGGCCGACCTTCACCCCAAAAAGGTTCTCCTGTCCTGTTGGTGGTCCAGAAGAGGCATGGAGTACTGGGAGCTGCTGGAGAAGGGACAGACGATTGACGCTTCCACATACGTTACCCACCGTGCTCGTGGATCGAATACGAAAACTACTTCCATCATGACAACGCCCGACTCACACCGCAAAGGCGACCCAGGCCGAACTAAGTACGGATGGCTGATGGTCGCCCACCTCCCCCCCCCTCCCTACAGCCCTGACCTCGCTCCTTCTGACTACTGGCTGTTCAGCCACCTGCAGCGCTCTCTGGACGGAAAAAAGTTCGAAACAAAGGATCAGGTCAGAAAGGCACTCGACGACTTCTTCAAGTCCCAGCCCCCGTCGTTCTGGAAGGATGGAATCGACAAGCTGCCTGAGCGCTGGCGTCGAGTAGTGAATGGTGATGGTGCATACCTCTAATCTCCAGGCTGGTTCGCTTTTGAGATATTTACAAAAAAGTCGGGGTTAAAACATATGCATCAACCTAATAGCTCACCACTCCGCCTTTATACAGGAAACCGAGTTATTGTGCTCACAGCCTGTAACTTCATAACACTACTCCAGAGCTCAGGTTGTTTAGGCAATAATAGAAAATTGCATGGTTCGGTTTTTCTAGTCACATAGTTCATGGTCAAAATGATTACAATGCTCTAAGTGCGAGGAAGTAAACAATTGTTCTACCTACACCCTGATTCACTGCGAATGCTCGGGTGCGCAAGCCCACTCTCCTTCAACTGCTGAAGAGGGCAAGCGACAACAGATGGTAGAAAACGGTCTGGCGCTGCGCCAAACCCAGCTCCGCCCCCTGATAGACCCCATCATCCGCAGCGAACAACACTGTAAATGCACAGGTTTTAGAAAGGCCGGAAACGGAACCTGCTGTGCAGGTACTCTAGCACATTCAGGTAGCGTTCTGTACGTTATATTGCTCTCTATCTCTCCTATTTAATTTCAGAAACCAACCAACCTGAGCAAAAATATGAGCTAGCAGTTCTTCCGATATATCGACACGTTTCATAGTAAAATCATATAAATCAATGGAATTGTCAACTAGTTCCATTACTAGTAGAAAGGATTCATCATCTTCAAATGAATCGACAAACTGCAATGCACTCGTTATTGAGGTGTCTCGGAACTTCTTGAAATTGAAAATAATTCGTCATTTGAACATGTTCTTAGGCTAGAACAGAAGGATTTGCTAGCAAGGTGCATTGTTGTGAGATTCGTTCAACGATTTACTCAGAAGAAGTGCTTAACTTACTTCTATGATTTGTGGATGTTGTAATTTCTTCAGAAGTTCTACTTCAATTGGATAATCACCATATGGAGCACGTGCATAATCAGGTAACTTTGACTTGTAGATGGTTTTTAGGGCGAACTGGAAAGGAACAAGAATAAAGATCAGAGAAAAGTATAAAAAAGAAACTAAAGCTAAAATAACGGGGAGTTAAAGGCAGAATTCGCGATCAATCAGGGACATGTTCGTGGGTAGCCGCGTTGAAACAATTGTATGTGCTACATAGTTGGTTTTCCGTGAAGGAAAAAAGGAAGGAAACCATCGAGAAGACTTCAAATAGAACCCTCATTGTGCATTGCGAAAGACAAACATTCAATGTGGATATCGGGAGAGAGGCCAGAGAAAACAGCGAGAGAGCATGCAAACAAAGGAGAGCATAAGTAGGTCATCTATCACTGCGGACGGAGTCACTTGAGCAAGACTGTGTTCCCCCGCCGCTACCTTTCTACTTTCTGACGTGGAAATAATACAGGGTTGTTCGTTGCAGTTCACACCACCTCTGCGTACGATGAGCCCGGACAGTTACAACCGATCGCGAGCTCAGCCTCAACTGGAAAAGGGATCATGTCTGGCGGTCGGAGCCCCACAGTTTTATCTGCAACAAAGGCAGCCTTTTTAGTGCTACTACCAATTCTAGCGTACTGCAGTGCAGCCTACGATCCTTCTCCAATTTATGAAAATTCTTACACTTTCCACTGACGATTCCTCCTTCGGTCTTTTTCATGTGGAAGGTCAGAGGGTCCGAAGCTGGTGAAGCGTGCCAAGTTCTCTGCTCAAAACTGCATGGGAGTGGGGCTGAAGGGTGCCTCTCCCGGCTCCGTCCGAGCTGTCCTGTAGAGGCGGCACTTGCGTCGATATCAAGTACCGCTGGGAACACTCAGTCAGAGGTAGAAAACGGTCAGAAGTGAGAGTTTGCAGACAAAACGCGCGTTCACCTATGGTTAAGCATGCGGCTGGCCGTGTTACAGCGCGGGCAGAGCCGGTACCTCGAGCCCCGTTCCTGTGAACTTCTGAGCGGAGAAAATGGCACGCTACAGCAGCTATGAGCCCATTTTTCTCATGGCAAGGACCGGGATCCACGGACGTGATTAGTCAGTTTATTTCTACCTTTAACTTTGGTCACATTTGCGAACTGCAGCTCTATATAGCGTGAACCGATTGAACCTAAGCGTTCGAGCACTCTATCAGCTGCAGTTTGAGCTTCACATAGATGCAGTTTATTCAGGGTCTATCTCAGCCGTGTAGCAGAGCGCAGGTGGAAATGCGGAAACGAACAGATCTGCAAAATGTTCAAGGCAATCGTGGTCATCGACCTGGTCTCCCCTGGAGGTGTGAAGACTCCCTACGCTGCTCTCTGTGGTCTCCCTAGCTCCTTTTTCAAATTGCTGTCCATATTTCATGAGACACGAGCGAGACGTAGACCCCTGATAGCGGGCCATCGATGTGGAAATCGCCTTTGTTGGACCATGGCATTCTTGGTGGACTGTTTTTTTTTCATTGGATTGTCCCGCAGTCTCGCCCCCTTGTCTACTTACAATACAATACAGCGCGTAATTAAGTAAATACATCAATGTATTTGCTTTCGCCTACTGCCTAATGTAATTAGTACGATTGGAATGGACAATATGGTTGCCATAATGTATGCTTACACAGAGTACCCGATATCCATTAATTTTCAACAAGGAACACAATTCGATAGGCTTGATTAGTATGCACTAAACAAATTTGGTAGGCTGGCCCAAGTAATGGTGTTTTAGTAATAGTGCTTAAGTAATAAATATGTTTAGTAGCCCAAAGGTTAGCGTGAAATGTGCAATGGATCTTATAATATTTGTAGATAATTTTGTGCTATTTGAATTTTTTTTCTCATTTCTAGGTCGAAGGGGCAAGCTGAGAAAATTGAGCAGTTTCAACAAATTTCCTGTATTAATCGCTGTGCTAAAGCCTGAGGCTGGTTTCAGGAGTAGAAGAGGTTGAGATGCCTTCTTTAGAGGGCCCTAATAGGTTCAAGGGATTAAAAGATGGAAATTACGACGTCGGAGATATGCACCACCCGAGCGTCCATGTTCAATGAGGAGCAACTGAATCAGCTTATTCAGTGGCACTGACATCAGCCGACGAGCCAACAAGGAAACGGCAGAGATTATGGACCCGGCCATTTTCTGCAACTGGGGAAAAATTTGCAAAATACGCCCCTCTTCCTTCTCTTCTGTTGCAAATCCCTTTCCCATACCACCTATCTTTTTTTGAAAATTCTCCGTTTTTCCCGAAACCTGAAGTCGAAAAGGGGAGTGGTTTGGGATGAACAGTACTCTTGAAACTGCAAAAGCAAAAACCAAGATATTGAACGACTCAACCATCGAAAAACTTTTCTCAAAGGTAATCACCCTTCACACCACTGACCAAATATGATCCCCAGCTGGGATCTCCACCGTACGACGTGTCCTGCCACGGACTGCCCACAGTACCATTGAGTGTCACCTTTTTCTTGGGAAAGGTTCGAGGTGCATTTTCCGCATGTTGCCTTCAGTGCAGGCACTATTATTGAAGAGCAACATACTGCCTTCTTAGGAGCAGGGCGTCGCAAGAGGCATTGCTCCCTTATCAATGCAAAGAAAAAAATTTTCGAGCAGCTTCTGCGGCTTTAGTAACGATCGCCAGAGGGTGGTGTAGACTCAAAAATATCATACAATATGAAATGTACTGCAAAGCGAACATTCGCATAGAATTTTCAACTCAGAAGAAGTCCCTTACTACGGGTCAACCCCAAAACTTTTGTGCTACTTGAACTGTGGTCGATGAAAGGAAGGCACTATTTACCCTTCACTTCACGGTTTTCGGGGTTCGGATGAGAACTTGTTCGAATGTCGTTCCCAAGAGTTCAACTTGACGCACCTGAACGACGGCCACCTCACGCGTTTGGCCGAAAATCGCCTGGCGCCATCCCAGAGACGTCCGACGGCTTAAACGAAGGTCTGCCCGAATACCACAAAATTCCGCTATTGGCAAGCCTTCCAGAAAAGAGAGCTGACTGACTGTCTTTGTGTTTCTCTAACTGCCCTAGTACACCGCTCGGTAAAAAATCTTGTGGAATCGGTACTACGCGCGCCGCTGTCGAGAGAGGTACGTGGTGCAGTTGACCGTAACGCGGATTCCAGGCGGTTTAGAGCCGAGCAGATGGGATAAACCTGAGATCAGAACTACCGCTCGCAGGTAGCAAAAATCTTAGGCAAAGATTAGCCGCTTCGTGAAAAAGACGGCTATCAAAACTGCCTGGTCGCTGTTGGAGGCTGGCAAGCAAGAGGGGTGAAATTCGCCGACAGAATGAGAAGGCAGCAAAGGGTAAATATGGCCACAAACTGAAATGACTGCTGGCACTATAGCTCTGGTACTACGGAGTTGTGGCTTGGTTCCAATAACAAGGTATATCGTAGTACTCACACTTTCTTAGTAGATTTTTCAACTTGGCTGGAAACTCACAGTGGGAAGGGTTCCAGTCCAGGTGCGTTCAGGTTCTCTGTACATCATGTCAAGCCCTTCTGATGCCGAACTCAACCCAGCCTGTCTAGATTAAAAGGATAAAGGATAAAGTCTTCGCCGTTGATCAATCCCTTTGTGGGATGCGGCACGCATTCTACTTCCATTCAGAATCGTAGTGGCTTATTGAATGCGATGTGGCCTATACAATGACTTGCGGGGGGCCAGCCGATGTACAAGTCAGTGTTTTATCCTCCCAGACGAATCTGGTACCAATTTACCGTCCCTGGAGGGGGGGGGTAGAAGGCTCATTGGCCTAAGCGGCAGTCGAACCGGGATTCGAACCCGGGACCGCGCGAGCGGTAGCGCGCCACTTTTCACTGTACCACCTCCTACTCTGAGTTCTGATGAAGTAGAAACTCACTTCAGCTCCGTCTGCTTTCCTAATGACACGGCATACTTCACCAAATGAACCGCTTTCTATGAACGTTCCTCTACTGTATTTTGAATCGAAGTCCATAAAATCCTGAAAATTCTGTTACTAGAGTTCATTTTTCAAGTATATGACAATGACGGTGAGTTGACGGTAAGTGCAGACTCGGAAAAACAAAAGAATGAAAAGGTGTAAAGAATAGAGTTGTTGCGCCACGCTTCCAACATTTAGTAAATATGGCACCGTCCTGATACCTTCAAACGAGTGGGCGTGTGACGGGACGTGGACTGCAGCGCAAGTAGGATGCCCTGCTCCTCCAATGGTGCAGTTCTGGCTCACAACTGGCGGGAAAGGGTGCCCTGGCTGCGCTCGATTCCACTCCCCGCCATACACCCTATCATTTGCAAGGATCATGAATACACTTTCGAATCCAGAGGATAACATAAGGATGAGAGATCGTGCTCGCTAAAGCATTGCAGGCACGGAAAGTTGCACGTTTGACATCCCCAGAGGAGTGGTATTTGGTCTAGGAGGAAAGGCGGTCCCATTCAGCCTGGGAAAGTTTTCCGACCGTTTTTCGTTTCACGCGCATCGCATACTCCCCGGATCGGTGGCGCCGCGAAACTACTTTTTCTGATAGTTGATCGGAAGTGTTCGCCGTCCCACCCCGAGCAAAGCCGAAATCTTGTTGGTTGGTAGAGGAAGGGGGCGTACCGAAGGGAAAATCGGAGGGAGAGGGTTATTTCGAGCGACAGTTTTCTCCAGTGCCAGGAAGTGCCCTGATTGCTAAAATATTGGCCTTTTCATCCCTCTATGCTGGGAGCACCGCATATGGCATGAATGAGAACTCAAAAAGCAATCAGGTTAGAATTCTAAGCGCTTCTATCCCTCATTTCTTTCGGTGTTCTCTTATAATTACCTGTGAATGCTGCAGATCCTCGGCTGGCCTAACAAGCTTACAATGCGCCGGCACGCAATGTTTTTTTGTCTTATATGTACAAAAAATTAGTAAATTAAACGATTACCGTCCCAGGAGGGCAGAAGGATCGGTTGGCTGGACGGGAACTGATGCGTCATTTGACCACGGGACACGCGCGTAAGATGTTCAACCGTTTGAACACCGTGGAAGAGGAGTGTGATGATATTTATTGAGCGCCGCAGGTTTGGCGGAGTAAGGACTCGGCCACACTGGCACCTGCCAACAGAGCAATCATCGTTGGGCATTCCCCAGCAGGAAGGGTCATGTCAGTTTCTGGCCTTCTGAGAGCGGTTGTTGAGTTTTCGTAGCCTTACTGTTTCATATGTGGCGGACACGAAAATTGTAGGGGGTGGGGAAATCTTAGGAAATGGTACGTAGGATTCGCATCAAACATCTTTCAGGGGGGGGCGTCCGCGACTTCGACGCAGAATCCCCAACTAGTGATGCCCGCCAACAAGAAAAAAATAAGCCGCGGTACGCAATGGTTCAAAAAAAAGTCGGTGCTGATGGCATAGACGGAACCAGTTGGAGCATTGCTTTTTCATAAGTGGGCGCCCTTTGCCTTCTTGAGAGAGGAGTCATTGAGAAGGACACACTTGTCACACTGATTCCATCCACCCTTCCATTGAGGAATTTTTTTCAGGGCACGATGTACCTCGGGGATGCCCCCCTAAGGGTAATATTTGCTCTCTGAAGGGATGGGAAGAAAGTTTTGAACTTTTCGTAGAAAATGTTCTCGTTGTTTACCTTTTCTCATTCTCGGCTTCACGTAAGCCCAAATATCCTCCCTCCGCATCCCGCCGACCCTTCCGTGTCAATGGACCGTTTGTTTTTGGGACGGGATGAAGAATTTTTTTGGCAAGAAAAATTGGGCGGAAAAAGCTGGTAGGACCGTTATGAAAAGTTTTAGGGTAAGATGATTGAGGGGTGATTGTGGAAAGATTATGGAGAAGGGTCCGTACAAAAGAATGAGACTCTGAGGCGGGGGGGGGTCGAATTCCGCAATAAATTTTTCTCCAACAGCAGGGTGTGCTCCGACACTAGTTCTTCCTGAGCATTTTCCAAACAATTTCAGAGTCAAATATTTTGGGGTTCAAGGCGTACGGTTTCATTAATGGTCACTAGGGCTAGAGTTACCTATAACTTTTTGATATATGGACTAGTTCTCCTGCATTCAATTTACAAGGGAGGTCAATCAGTGATGCTATAATTATTGAATTCTAGTTATTAAAACAGTGGAAATCACACAGTGATTGCGACGATTCTAACAGAAATTCAAAAGTGGTGGATAAAACGAAAATCAAAGAAACAGTCGCTTCGAAAATGCAGCGAACGTATCATCTGATGGTTGAGAGCGTTACAAAAACAGAAACAGAGACCCTAAACACATCGGCGAGCAGAGTCGAGATCACTTTTCCGTCAAAGAAAACGACAACTGCGGGCAGAGCATGCAACTGTGTCCAAGAAAAACGCAGTTTCAGAGCTCTGTTCAAAGATTGTTCGAATTAAAGTCAGTAGACCTGCTTCTGAAATGTAGCTCTGTTTAAGTTCAAGTCCCGCTTGGGACCAACTTTCCTCACAATTCAACAATCCTGTGATAGCCCTGCTCATGCTACAGTATCATATCTATGTTAAGAAAAGTTGAAAACTGCGGTATCAATCCTCAGAATGCGCCGCGCACTTTCATTTAGAACAACGATAACTTCGATGAGACCTAATCTACCTAATGCCCTTGCGAGCCCAATCGATGTGAAAACCTGCATCTTTAGTTTTCCATGTAAGTTTGGTACGAAATTACCGGTTTAGATTGGAAGCTTGATTGGGCTTGCGGAAGGGGAGTCGTGCAAGTCTCCCGAAAGATCAGGTCGCCACCAACCCGCAAGCGGGATATCTCACCCGGGGACAATAAAAATGCCTATAAAATTACTCTGATCCTCCGATATAGTTCTACCGAACTAAATCTTTGAAGCACAGCATTTCAACAAGTGCTATCGGTCCAAACAAATTTCTGAAGTATAGCTCAGAAAAGTCCAAGTTTTCTTGGAGAAAAGGTTTTCAAAAAGTTTTAGGGCACTATATAAGTGAGAAAGTTAAGTGAGAAAGTCATGAAGCTGTTGATGAATAATTGATAGACCAATCATTCATATTAAAAGTAGTCCCTGGAATTGCTGATCTCGTCGAGCCGCGAGAACTCATTGTAGCTGGACCTCATCGGGAGGCTTGTTACGCTCCCTTGCGGAAGCCACCCAACCAACCCTTTAATCCCAGCTGGTGCCAGGAACCCTGGATCCGGAGCGAAGGTAGTGGCATCACTTGCCAGTACATCACTACATCTGAACTTGTAACAGTATAAGTACCGGGACTGATTAACCCATTGCGGACTGCACTTCAGGGACCAGATCGTTTCGCTTGAGTCCTTACGAAAATCCTTATGTTCAAAAATGAGAAAATGCATTTTCGTAATCGGAAAGCATGCGAAGAAGCGAAAAGTGGAAAAGAAGATAAAATGATCCATAGATTTACGGATAACGACGGTCCGAACTGGGTTAAATGTCAAGAATCCTGTTCATATATCGTGGCGACCCCAGCTGACTTGTTCCTTCTTTTTTTTTCTCTCTCAATTTTTTTGCAGGCAGGAACCTCTACGAACTTCAAGCTAGGCGGTTCCAAAAAATAAAGCTCATTTTTTATGCCAACGATCATGACAAACTATCAGATGTAAAACAAGTCCAACAAATAATGTTGTAAAGAAGAAGAGCTTACTGCAAGTTGCAGGGCTCATAGACATAGCCCTCTATTCAGGAGAAATGAAGAAAAACAGCCTACATTAGTCCACGTAGCAATGCCAGAAGCCGAAGGTTGTGTAACCAGGGCACGTCGTATGTGGGTTCCCCAGCGAGGGAGGAGGGGTGTATTCGAGCGCCCGAGAGAGGGAGATTGCATTTTCCATTTAGAAAAGAAATGTTCTCGGTTGCTGACTTTTCACTTTTACTAGGAGAAGGGGAGGAAGTCAGGAAAACCTAGAAATCCTGTAGGCAGAACTAGTGGATGGGAAGTGGATCGTACCAGGGGAGGAAATTTCGAGGAGGGGAGAACGTAATTTGCAAATTTTTCCCGTCGGCAGGACGTGCCTGGTGTGCTCGGGTGTAACGGAAAGTGGCGCCACGTCCACTGTCAAGGGTCAAGTCTCGCATCGCCTCCGGCCGGAGGGCGCTTCTCAAAAGGAGATTTTCCAAGCACGAGCTTTTATTAGTGCTAAGACAATGACTGTACTCACTGGTTTTAGCTCACATGTACCCTTATTTCTGAGGTATAAGGCGCATTTCGTAAAGTCGCGCGCGACCACAAGCGAGAAAAGACGGTAGACGCAGCAACCGTTTTCCTGTCTTTTCGCATAGTTCAATCTTCCAACTGGTTTTTAAGCACCTCTTATTGAATGGAGATCATTAATACGGATAGGACAAACAAAAAAAACCACGAAAAATTGAAGGAAGGAAGAAACACCAGTAGAGTTCAAGGCGAAGGTACGCCTTGTATAATCCTTACCCCTGAGACGGAGTAGGCGTGGCCCCTGATGGGTTATCGTGGGGTATTTTGATTTGAGACAACAGTGATTTTGTTTTATTGGACGAAGACATGATATTAACTGCCTCTAAATAAAAATCTCACGAAAATCTTGGCCGCTCCGCTCAATTCAAGTACTCTGCCACGCACCCATCTCGGATTTTCGGGGCACATAAACTCGAAATCCCTGAGATGAGGTAGGCGTGGCTGCGTACTTTAACTGAACGTGGCGGCGACTGTGCTTTTGGTGGGATATTTTCATTTTGAGACACTTGTGGTCATGTCTTAGTCCAACACAAAGCAGGATGACGGTTGTTTCAAGTCAAACTATCCCACGAGTGGGCCATACTGTGCCATGTCCAAATGCCACGCCTACTCCGCTTCAGGGATAGGGCCTCTATACATGGTGCGCCTTATACACTAGAAAAAAGGCTATTATCTAGCAACTGACAGGCTTGGAACTCCTTGAAATGGAAGAATTTTTCAGCGTTAGAAATTGAGGGCTATATGTGAACGAAACGTGTTATGGTGAAACGTACTATTT